CCGCGGGGGAGGGGGGCGGGGAGCCGCGCGGCAGCCCGGGCAGCGCTCCCAGCAAAGCGCGGGATGCCCGACCGCCCCGCGGGGTCTGCGTCTCCCCGGGGCACCTCGCATCCAGCGGGGATGGGGTTGAGTCTGTCAAGGGGACGTCGCATCTGTCAAGGGTATCTCGCATCTGTTGGGAAGGCTCGAGCCTATCGGCGGGGATTAAGGGACGACCAAGGGTGACTCTCATCGACGGGGCGAGGACCTAGTCTATCAAGGGCACCTCAACTCTATGTATTGCATCTGTCTGGAGTCGATCGAGGGTGCCTCACATCTATCCGAAGGGCTCGAGTCTATCGGGGAGCTCAGAGTCGATCAAGGGTGCCTCGCACGGATGGGGGGTTGAGTCGATCAAGAGTACCTCACCTCTGTTGGGGGACCTCAAGTCTGTCAAGGGTATCTTGCATCTGTCAGTCTATCGAGGGTACCTCACATCTATCCGGAGGTCTTGAGTTTATTGGGGGGGTTCGAGTCTATGAAAGGTATCTATGGGGGGCAGTAGTCTATCCAGGGTACCTCAAGGCTATCAGGGGGCCTTGCCTCCATGAAGGGGCCTGGAGTCTATCAAGGGTGCTTCACAGCTGCTGAGAGAGGGTGCCTCACATCTATGAAAGAGTCTATATCAAAGTTACCGCACATTAATTGGGGGACCTCAAGTCTATCAAGTGTATCTCACACCTGTCGGGAGGCCTCGAGTCTATCGGGGGGCTTTGAGTCTATCAAGGGGACCTCAAGTCTATCAGGGCACCTTGCATCTCCCGAGGGACCGGGAGTCTATCAAGGGTGTATCACAGCTCTCGGGGGATGTCATGTCTATCAAGGGTGCCTCGCATCTGTTGGGAGGCCTCGAGTCTATCAAGGCTACCCCACATTTGTCGGGAGGTCTTGAGTCTACCAGGGGGGTTTGAGTCTATCAAGGGTATGTCACATCTATGAGGGAGGGCTCTAGTTTATCAAGGGTACCTCGGGTCTATCAGGGGACCTTGCCTCTATGAAGGTGGGGGTTGGAGTCTATCAAGGGTGCCTCACGTCTATCAGGGGGCCTCGTGTCTATCAAGGTACCTTGGGTCTATTAGGAGAGCCTTGAGTCTTATCAAGCATGCCTCCTGTCCATCAAGGGCCCCCCAAGTCTATCAAGGGGTGCCTCAAGCATCAAGGGTGATTTAAGTCTATGGGGGGGCCTTATGTCTATTAAGGGTGTCTCACGCCTATCAGGGGAGCCTCAAGTCTACCAAGGGTGCCTTGCATCTATCAAGGGGGGCCTCGCCTCTGAAAAAGGGTGAGAAGCCCTGCATGAGCAAGAGCTCTGTGTGACACCAGTTCGAGAAGGCAGGCCAGGCGGCACCCCTCCCCTGGGAAGCCCGGGGCAGCTGGTGCATCTGGAAAAAGACTTGGGGCCAACCCCTCTGCAGAGTCAAAGCAGCTGAGCTGTGCTGACAGTGGCAGGGAGTTTGCGTGTTCTCTCTGTTTATGAAACAACATGTGTTATGCCAGGATGTGGTTAGCCTGTGTAGCAGAGAATCACAAACAGATTTCAGATGACCTCTTGTCAAGTAGATTTGTGTTGAAAAATGAAGCCAGGTAGCCGCAGCTTCAAATTAGAATGGACCACCTGAGCTGTAAATAGGGTTTCTCGTTAATGGAGCTGTTAGTATCAGCTTAAAAAAAAAAGAACGACAGTAGAATATTAATGAGCTAAGCCGCTCTCTGATGGTCTAACTAAAAAGGTCTGGGAAAGGAAATGTCACATTACAACTGCTAAACCAACCAATACCTCGAGTAACCAGCTGTGTGAATGTACATTGTATGTAAAATGGCAAACAAGATTGGCATTAAATTCATAGCACTCTGCTGACAGAGTCTGATGGGTTCTGTAGAAGGTCTGGCATTTTAAAGAACATTTCAAAACGTTTTAGGCCACCTATGGTTAAGCAAATTCATCCTAAATTTCATGAAGTACATCAGACCTTTGCAGGAGATGAACAAATGGGACCTTGTTCTTTACCAATGCCTTGAGAATGCACTTGCATAATATTAAAATATTATTACCTTTAGAACTACACACATGGTCACGTTTTACTGCTGACATAAAATAAAAATGGAGTTAGAACTCAGTTGCTCAGAAACCAATATTCACATAGTGCATTGCCCAGTGTTCAAAAAAATCTTACAGATAAAAGAAGGTCTGCTACTTAGGCTTCTCTCCAAAAATTCATTGTATGCCACAGCAGTGCTGCACCTATCTGAAAAACGATTGAATTCTCTCTCCAAGGCTCAGCAAGAATGGAACGATCATCAGGATCGGGTCCTCAGGTCGTAGGGGCAGAGGTCTTACCTTAAGGTGTTGAACAATAACTAGCCCGATTTTTGTTCCATACTGCAACATAGCGATGAATGCAGAGGCATCCATTTGATATCATCTCAACTAGACATTGATATTTATCTTGTTGCTGCATTAACTTCTTTCAGTAGAAAATTATGATGTAACACTGCTGCATGATCATCTTGTTTTTTCTTCTGCTCATTGTCCAAAAATTAAATAAAGATCTTTACTTCCCCTCCCTGTTTATTTCATTTAAATATTTTAAACACACCCCCATAAAAGTTTTGAAGCAGAGTTCTGGTTTGTCTTATGGAAAATAAGAATATATCACATTTCCTGCAGCATTGACAGTGCAGGGCAAAACTACTGTAAGCTTCAGTCCTGTAGTATATTTTAAAAGTGTTCTTATTCATTGTGTCAGTAGTGAGGGAAAGCTGGTAGGCAGCAAGGGTCAAGTGGAATAAGCAAACGCCTTGGTCATATCTTAACCAAAGCATATAGGGTGATTTGCCAAGTCAAAAAAGGAGAATTTTTTAAACCTATTTAAACATTCTCACATGATTACAATATGAAGGGGGTTTAAAAGAAGGGATAATGAGCCTTTTTTCCCATTCCAAATAATGATTCGAGTATTACAACCGGGCTTTGGATGGGTGGGTTTCCCTTGTTAAATGAATAAAGGAAGGACATTTGAAGAGTTTGACCTTTTGGGTTCCTTCTAGCATCCAATGTGGCCTCCTTGCTGGTTCTGTTGGGGAAAGCTAATTCCCTAAGATAACTACTTACTATTGCATTAATGTGTAAAATAAGTGTTTGCCCCACTTATAATACATTTCTGAGCAAAATAAGTGCAACAGATTTAGATTCTCGTTAGAAGAGGCATTTTAAAGTGTATTTGAAGATATTACTTGAGGAGGGGAAGTTTGGCCTTAGAAATGTTACGTCAGTATGTAAAGCCTCTTCAATTTTGACATGATATTGAAAAAAAGGCAGCTTTATGGGGCTGGAGATTACTTATTTTAGAGTTTTCTTTTTCAGTGTTTCGGTATGATGGTCAACGTATATAACGTCAGTGGGCTTTTTATGTGCATTTGCATTTGTTGGTATTCATTAAGTTTTTTCTCATAACAAGGTTCTCACCTCTGCGAAGCATCTCCGTTTTCTTGAGCCAGAAGTGGCAGCTCACACGATAATGGCTTACCCACACAGAAGCAAGGCAGAACTACCACTGTATTATTGCTGGAGCCATACTTTGAAGTTAAACACCAGTCTCTGTGTGGGCAACCCCACAACATCTTCCTGATGAGGGAAATGACTAATAATGAACAATGCTTGAAAAATCAGAATAAAAACTCACTGTATATAGAAATGCAGGCAAGAGTATGAAACTTTCTCTCTAGGGTTGCTGGCTTTTATAAACATTAGTTGGTTATATTCTGTTACAGAAAAAGGATCAGTAACACATCTGTGCCGCGTGTAGGAAAATTAGTTTCTAGCACATGGGACAGCCCCAAATAATGAGAAGGATAGAACAGTACCACTTACATTACAGAAATATGACAAATGGTAATGTTATTAAATAACTTAAGTCAGAGTTCCCCTTCCTACCAAAATACATGCAAAAGGACTCTGGGGAGTGGGGAAAGGAGGTAATGAAACAAAGTCCATGATGTGTGACCATTTCTTACTCAAACAGTTTTTATGCAGCGTGGTGTGAAGTGTCAAACAATGCAAATTAACATATGGTGGGAAAACATATTTGGGGGAAAAAAATTGGCATGAAATGAAAAAAACAAAAACCACTCAGCAACTTTTGCATTGCACGTGAAATATCACATGCATTGCGATTGGAGAACA